TAATCAGCTTTAAAGGCTTTTCTATAAAAAAAAAGCCTTAAAAAGCTTTTCTATGCAAAAGCTCTAAAAAGCTTTTTATGTAAAAGCATTATAAAGCTTTTCTATGAAAAAGTTTTACAAACTTTTCTATAAAAAAGCTTTACAAAGCATTTAAAGCTTTCCTATAAAAATCGTTCTTAAAGCCATTTTAAGCAAACAACTTTAATACGTTTTGTGCTAAGAAAGAGTTTTTTTTCCTAAAAAAAAGTTTGTTTAAACATATTAATAAAAGCTTTAAAAGAAAAACGCTGTAAAAGCTTTTTTTAAAATAGCAGTAAAAGCCTTTCTAAGAAAAGCGCTGTATAAGCTTTTTTATGAAAAATCTTTTTAAGAGTCTTTTTAGGAAAACAGCTTTTAACTCCTTATAAAGAAAAGCTTTTAAAGACTTTTTAGAGAAAAAGCTTTAAAACTCTTTTCAAAGGAAAAGACCTTTTAAAGAGAAAGCTTTAAAAATCTAAAGAAAAAGATTTAAAAATCTTTTTAAAGAAAAAGCTCTAAAAAGTTTTTTAAAAAAAGATATTTTTTTAAGAAAAAAATATACATAATTAAAAGAGTTTTTAATAGAAAGCTTAAAAAAGCTTTTATAAGAATGTAATAAATAGTTTAAAATAGCTTTTATAACAATAAGTAACAAAAAATTAAGAAACTTATTTTGCTTATTAAGAAAAACCTTTACATGACTATTTAAACATAATCAAACAGCTTTATTTTAAAAATGATTTAAAAATCCCACTTAAAAACTCTTAAAAACCTTCAAAACTATTCAAAGGCTTTTTAAGTCAAGTAGTTTCTTAAAAGAAAACTAACTAATCACGCATTTTTGGGCAATTTATAAACCTTTACGTGTTAGTTTGCTAGCGACGAATAGATGGCGCCGCCCACAGTTAGTTTTAATGCATTCCATTGCTATATTGCCTACTTCAGGCGCTAATTTTTACAGAGTTGCACAGAAATCAAAAATTGATTTTCGATTTTCAAGAAAACGTGCTCTGATCTCAAATCTGATAGCATATTCGGATTCAGCATCGAAAAACCCTAGTATGTAGACCTCTCGGCCCAATTGGGCCAATAGTTTCCGAGAAAAAAGCAAAAAAGGTAAAACGGCCAGTTTAATAAAACTCCCATTGTTTAGTACAGACATAAACCGTGCGAAAGTTGTTTATGATAACACACATTCGCACACACGTAATATTCATGTAGGCGTGTGTATAGATGTGTGTTTTACTTGAACAAAACAACAGCGCCACCTGCTGTTCGCAAGTTGTACTAAGTTTGTGTGTATGTATTTAGCTAAAATTGGCAGATTTTCTTTTTTGCTTTTTTCTCGGAAACTACCGGCCTAAAACGGCCGGGAGTGTCACATACTAGGTTTTTCGATGCTGAATCCGAATATGCTATCAGATTTGAGATCCGAGCACGGTTTCATAGAAATCGAAAATCAATTTTTGATTTCTGTGCAACTCTGTATAAATTTGCTCCCTAAAATATGCTCTGAAAATATTAATATTAAAAATGAAAACAAGTTAGTTTACTAGCAATGTATAGGGGGGCGCCTTTTTAATGTGCTTTCTTTCTGTTGCCAACTTCAGGAGCTTATATGACAGAGTTGCACAGAAATCAAAAATTGATTTTCGATTTCTATGAAAACGTGCTCGGATCTCAAATCTGATAGCATATTCGGATTCAGCATCGAAAAACCCTAGTATGTGGTACTCCCGGCCGTTTTAGGCCGGTAGTTTCCGAGAAAAAAGCAAAAAAAGAAAATCTGACAATTTTAGCTAAATTACATACACACACCACTTTGTACAACTTGCGGTCAACAGGTGGCGCTGTTGTGCACTTAAATAAAACACACATCCATACACACGCCTATATGAATATGACGTGTGTGTGAAGGTGTCATAAACAACTTTAGCATGGTTTATGTCTGTACTAAACAATAGGAATTTTATCAAACTGGCCGTTTTAACTTTTTTGCTTTTTTCTCGGAACTACCGGCCCAATTGAGCCGAGAGGCCCACATACTAGGGTTTTTCGATGCTGAATCTGAATATGCCATCAGATTTGAGATCGGAGCACGTTTTCTTAAAAATCGAAAAATATTTTTTGATTTCTGTGCAACTCTGTAATAAATTTGCTCCCTAAAGTATGCATACCGAATTTTCATATAAAAAATATTAAAATAATCATTTATTTAGTGTTTTAAAGAAGAGCATAAGTTTAGGAGTAAAAATTAAGTAAGGGAAATTAAACAATGTGAAAGGTTTTTCATCACATAATTTTTCTTTTCTTGTTGAATACAACGTTTTATTGTTCAAATTAAGATAAAAAAACTTTACAGGGTCTTAAAGGAATAATACAAATTACAAAAATAGACTTGTTCGTGAGATATTTTCTATTGAAATAATTGAAAATTTTGCTTCAAAACTTCAAAGGTAGTTTTCCTTTTCCATAAAACGACGGCAGATATTTACGTTCGTGTTTTTGATTCTTCTGGTTTTTAAAGCAACGTAAAGAAAATCTGTAAATAAAATTAAAATTTTGTAAAATATTTAAACAAAAATTGAAAGATTTTACAATAAAATTTTATAAATTATTAATATTTCATTACTCGACCCCCCCTTTTCAAAATCTTTTAAACACCGTCTGTCTATTTTTTCTAACAAAATACTCACATGCTGTTTGTTAAGAAACAAACACACACACACACACTCTGTTTAAAGTAGAGGTTTAATTTTATTCACATTTAAACAAAAATAGACCAGTTTTTCATGTTCATTTGCATCTCTCAAACTCTGTTTTTATATCAAAATAAACAAAAACAAAACGCATTAACAAAAACAACACCTGTTTAATAAAATCAAAATAGTTTTATCATAAAAAAACAAAATCAGTTTGCTTTTAAAGCTCCCAACGTTAACAACATTAAAAGTATATCTGTGAATCAAAAAATGCCCTTAACAAAATCTTGTCTATCAGCTCATGATCAGCAAGTTTTAGAATCGATCTTCAATCCTCTGGAATTAACTTCTTCTTTGGAAGCACAACTCATTAATCCAGATTCTACCGAACCTTTAGTGGATCAAGATGAGGCACTCGGTTGTGAAGTGGAAATATTAAAGAAATCCAAACAATTGGAAATAGAAGCTGTAAAATTGGCTGAAGAAGAGAAATTGGAAGAAGCTTTGGAAAAGTTTAAGGAATCTTTAGAATTGACACCCAAAAGGGCTTCAATTTATAATAATCGGGCACAGGCTTTAAGATTAGCTGGGAAAGATGAGGGTGAGTAGAAAGTGAATTAAATAAAAGTAGAACTTTCAGAACTTGTAAAGAAGTTCAAAGCAGCACACTTGTTCTGCTCTACATATAAAGGGGAAATTTTTGTTTAAATTCCCTTGTACAGGTTGGTGTCAATAATAACCATCAGCCGAGACATAAACCATATATGGTGAATAAGCTGAAAAAGAAAAGCAGTTGGCAGCATTGCTACACAAACATTTATTAAGAAGCTTCAACTTTTTCTTCGAAATTTTCTAGACTATAAACTAGTTTACAGTATAGTCTATATTCTACCCTATAGTCTACCCCATAGTCTAGTCTATATTCTACCCTATAGTCTACCCTATAGTCTAGTCTATAGTCTAGTCTATAGTCTATATTCTAGTCTATAGTCTAGTCTCTATAGTCTAGTCTATAGTCTAGTCTATAGTCTAGTCTATAGTCTAGTCTATAGTCTAGTCTATCTAGTCTATAGTCTAGTCTATAGTCTAGTCTATAGTCTAGTCTATAGTCTAGTCTATAGTCTAGTCTATAGTCTAGTCTATAGTCTAGTCTATAGTCTAGTCTATAGTCTAGTCTATAGTCTAGTCTATAGTCTAAGTCTATAGTCTAGTCTATAGTCTAGTCTATAGTCAAGTCTATAGTCTAGTCTATAGTCTAGTCTATAGTCTAAGTCTATAGTCTAGTCTATAGTCTAGTCTATAGTCTAGTCTATAGTCTAGTCTATAGTAGTCTATAGTCTAGTCTATAGTCTAGTCTATAGTCTAGTCTATAGTCTAGTCTATAGTCTAGTCTATAGTCTAGTCTATAGTCTAGTCCTATAGTCTAGTCTAGTCTAGTCTAGTAGTCTATAGTCTAGTCTATAGTCTAGGTCTATATCTAGTCTAGTCTAGTATAGTCTAGTCTATAGTCTAGTCTATAGTCTAGTCTATAGTCTAGTCTATAGTCTAGTCTATAGTCTAGTCTATAGTCTAGTCTATAGTCTAGTCTATAGTCTAGTCTATAGTCTAGTCTATAGTCTAGTCTATAGTCTAGTCTATCTAGTAGTCTAGTCTATAGTCTAGTCTATAGTCTAGTCTATAGTCTAGTCTATAGTCTAGTCTATAGTCTAGTCTATAGTCTAGTCTATAGTCTAGTCTATAGTCTAGTCTATAGTCTAGTCTATAGTCTAGTCTATAGTCTAGTCTATAGTCTAGTCTATAGTCTAGTCTATAGTCTAGTCTATAGTCTAGTCTATAGTCTAGTCTATAGTCTAGTCTATAGTCTATAGTCTAGTCTATAGTCTAGTCTATAGTCTAGTCTATAGTCTAGTCTATAGTCTAGTCTATAGTCTAGTCTACAGTCTAGTCTACAGTCTAGTCTATAGTCTAGTCTATAGTCTAGTCTATAGTCTAGTCTATAGTCTAGTCTATAGTCTAGTCTATAGTCTAGTCTATAGTCTAGTCTATAGTCTAGTCTATAGTCTAGTCTATAGTCTAGTCTATAGTCTAGTCTATAGTCTAGTCTATAGTCTAGTCTATAGTCTAGTCTATAGTCTAGTCTATAGTCTAGTCTATAGTCTAGTCTATAGTCTAGTCTATAGTCTAGTCTATAGTCTAGTCTATAGTCTAGTCTATAGTCTAGTCTATAGTCTAGTCTATAGTCTAGTCTATAGTCTAGTCTATAGTCTAGTCTATAGTCTAGTCTATAGTCTAGTCTATAGTCTAGTCTATAGTCTAGTCTATAGTCTAGTCTATAGTCTAGTCTATAGTCTAGTCTATAGTCTAGTCTATAGTCTAGTCTATAGTCTAGTCTATAGTCTAGTCTATAGTCTAGTCTATAGTCTAGTCTATAGTCTAGTCTATAGTCTAGTCTATAGTCTAGTCTATAGTCTAGTCTATAGTCTAGTCTATAGTCTAGTCTATAGTCTAGTCTATAGTCTAGTCTATAGTCTAGTCTATAGTCTAGTCTATAGTCTAGTCTATAGTCTAGCCTATAGTCTAGTCTATAGTCTAGTCTATAGTCTAGTCTATAGTCTAGTCTATAGTCTAGTCTATAGTCTAGTCTATAGTCTAGTCTATAGTCTAGTCTATAGTCTAGTCTATAGTCTAGTCTATAGTCTAGTCTATAGTCTAGTCTATAGTCTAGTCTATAGTCTAGTCTATAGTCTAGTCTATAGTCTAGTCTATAGTCTAGTCTATAGTCTAGTCTATAGTCTAGTCTATAGTCTAGTCTATAGTCTAGTCTATAGTCTAGTCTATAGTCTAGTCTATAGTCTAGTCTATAGTCTAGTCTATAGTCTAGTCTATAGTCTAGTCTATAGTCTAGTCTATAGTCTAGTCTATAGTCTAGTCTATAGTCTAGTCTATAGTCTAGTCTATAGTCTAGTATATATTCTAGTCTATAATCTAGCCTATAGTCTAGTCTAGTATTTTATTTTTTTAAGAATTAATTTTAATTCTGTATTTCGTTTTTTTATTTAGCCGCTTTTGACGACCTCAATCAAGCTTTGGAGAATTGTTTAAATCAAGCCAAATCCAAATGTCATGCCTTGTGCCAGCGTGGCGTACTTTACCGCAAACAAAACAAATTGGATGAAGCCCGCCAAGATTTTGAAGAAGCCGCCAAAATGGGCAGTAAATTTGCCAAACAACAATTGGTGGAAATTAATCCGTTTGCAGCTTTGTGTAATCAAATGTTAAGACAAGCTTTTCAACAATTAGAGAAATAATAAATAAAGAGAGTAACAGAGAGAAAAATTAAAGAAGGGAAATGGGTTTTAATTACAGGATTTAGAATAGAATTAGAAAAGTAAGAAAGAAATAGAGAGAAAATAATAAAAAATGGTAATTGAGGAAAGAGAGTATTTTAAGAGAACTTTTATAATGAAAACAGGTTAAGTTGTAATTGTAATTAAGTTTGTTTTTTAGTTAATATTAATTACAACTAACATGAATTTCTTCTTAATGATAAATGAAATAAATAATTCATTAAATGTTCTTTTTGGCGTAAGCCACCTTTTATTATTTGTTAATGACATTTTGCATTTAATTTTTAGAACTCCAAAAATAAAAACAAATATAACGGAATAATGCCAATATATACAACAATATATCATGTGAATTAGTCTCGTGTTGAAATCGATCATCATTGATTTACAACTTGTTGCATAAAGAAGAAAAAACTACAAATTTCATTAAAAAAGCAAAAACCTGTCGAATTTTATACGAAAAACAAAAGAGGGGGAGCAACCAGCGAAAAATGCAAGGTGCGTTTCTACCAATGCTTTATGATGCAGTTTATTTATACAAATGAAAAAGAACGCAAAAATAACAGTTGCAGTTAAATGTGGCACGTGGTTAAAAGGGCACGATTTTGTGCCAATTTCTATAAACAATGAAAACTGCAACTGTTGAGTTTTTCATTTTGAGCTGTCATGAGTCCCAGGAGTTTATATCACAAAAGGGTTAAATGTAAAAGGACATGTTACAAAAAAAAAAAAAAAAAAAAACAGATAAGAAAACCCAAAATTTAAATTCAAAAACGTAAAACATTTAATTTGTTAAATTTATTTTTAGAGCACAAAAACTTACGGGCAACAACCGGCAACGGTACTTGGCAAATTTCAGTTAACCGAAACTGAAAAGTGAACAAGAAAATTAAGCCACAATAACAAATGTTTAAGATTGAAAAATACAATTTTGAAAACAAATTGAACAGAGACCACGAAAATATTCCTCTGCAGGTTCCTGATGAAGTTAAATCAACAAAAAATGAAAGTGGTTTTATTATCCTTTTTTTCTTCGTCTTCTTTACCCAACAAATTTTAAACTTTACATCAGAGCGCTGTAATAAACCCTATTTTTTTATAAAAATAAACTTAAAACACGCATTCTGACCAGTTCATTCGTCAGGCAATACATGCAGCTCCCCTTAACAATAACAACAAACACGATCATTTGTAATGAAATGCTGAAGTGTGCAGTGTGGTTTGGTAGAAGAAAAAAAACCTTAAACTTGGCACGCTTTTGCCTCAAAAATTGTCTTACAATCATAAGGCGGGAAGTTTTTTTTAATATAGCGATATATAAAAAAGATTTTCTTTTTGGTTTTATTGCTTGGACAACAAAAAAAATCTGATCATTTTTGTAACCAAAACAGTCAATTCATTTTAAAATCTTAACCAAACAGTTTGAAACAATTTAACTTCGATTTTTTAGGGAACTACAATCAGCAAAGAAGGTATATTTAGTTCCTTAAAGATCAAGAAACAATTTGGGTTCACAACAGGCCTCGATCATTTTATATTGCTCATACCTCGAACAGATAATTGCTTAATGAGAGAGTTGCGGAAGATCATGCAAATGTCTTGAAGAAACTCACTCATTTGTGAATCGTGCAAACATCTCGAAGAAGTTTAACTCACTTATAAAACAAAACTCTTAAATGATATTAAAGATCATGTAACGACCTAGCCCTGCCACCGGAGACCAGTTAATCGCTAGAGACCAAGTAAATAAGACCACACAAAAATCTTTAAGAAAGATCAAGCAATAGTCTTTAGGAAGCTTCCATCTCTTAAAAATCCCACACTTGCCGATCATACAAAGATCTTGAGAAGTTTCCCTCACTTACATACACAACAAAACTCTGACGATTCAGAGGTTTGACTCCAATAGATGTTTGCTTAATACACGTATCCTTCAGCAGTATGGATATAGTTGCGAATGATCATGCAAGGATATTTTCTCTGTTTCATAAAGAACATTTTCTCTGTTATGATTGAAATCCATGCAGCCGGAGAGCGTCGCTAGAGATCAAGTAAATACGACCAAGGAAAAAACTTGATGATCATACAAAGATCTCAAATAAGCTTTCTTCACTTATGAAACAAAACTCTGACATTTCATCTTATCAAACAAGATCTTACGAGATTTTGGCTCTAACAGCTATATTCATAATGCCTGCTTTTTTTCTGAATTTTGAAGATAGTTGCAACTGATCATGCAACTAAGGATCACGGAAAAATAATAAAGAAGTTACTCTCACGTATAAATAAAACATCGGCTGGTCTATAGTCCACGCTATAGACAGATCTATAGTCCAGACTATAGGCTAATCTATAGTCCAGACTATAGACTAATCTATAGTCCAGACTATAGACTAATCTATAGTCCAGACTATAGACTAATCTATAGTCCAGACTATAGACTAATCTATAGTCCAGACTATAGACTAATCTATAGTCCAGACTATAGACTAATCTATAGTCCAGACTATAGACTAATCTATAGTCCAGACTACAGACTAATCTATAGTGCAGACTATAGACTGATCTATAGTCCAGACTATAGACTGATCTATAATAAAGACTATATACTGACTATAGACTGATCTATAATAAAAACTATATACTGACTATAGACTGATCTATAGTCCAGACTATAGACTGATCTATAGTCTATACTATAGAATGATCTATAGTCTATACTATAGACCGATCTATAGTCTAGACCATAGAATAGTCCAGACTATAGAATGATCTATAGTCCAGACTATAGAATGATCTATCGTCCAGACTATAGACTGTTCTATCGTCCAGACTATAGTGTGTTCTATCGTCCAGACTATAGACTATTCTATAGTCTAGACTATAGATTGTTCTATAGTTCAGACTATAGACTGTTATATAGTCCAGATTATAGACTATTCTATAGTCTAGACTATAGACTGTTCTATAGTTCAGACTATAGACTGATCTATCATCCAGACTATAGACTGTTCTATAGTTCAGACTATATACTGTTCTATAGTCCATACTATAGACTGTTCTATAGTCCAGACTATAGACTGTTCTATAGTCCAGATTATAGACTGTTCTATAGTCCAGACTACAGACTGTTTTATAGTGCAGACTATAGACTGTTTTATAGTCCAGACTATAGACTGTTCTATAGTATAGACTATAGATTTTTTGTTCTATAGTCCAGTTAGATTAGGGTGTCAAAATTTTCAAAACCACCTTTCAAAATTAAAATATTTGTTTGTATTTAAATCTGTAAAGAATTGATCCCTTTTTTTAAATGCTATATGAGCAACAAGAAAAAATGCAAACTTACACTAATAAACAGAACAGTTAAACCCATTATAAAATAAAAATTAACCCTTAAATGATCTATATATACAAAAACTTCAATATATATAAAATAAACTTTAGTAACAGTAAGCTCACTGAGAGGTAGTTTGGTAACGAGACTAAGTCTTCAAAAAGTAATTTTAAGGACTAAAAAAATCGAACTCTTTTTTGTCCCTTTCTCACGTCTAAGGGTTAACTCTCTATATTTTCCCTTCTTCCTACTCCTGTGGTTAACTGTTGTTTTTTTTTTTTTTTTGTTAATTCTGTGGGGATTTTGATTCAGTTTTTTTAAGGTGCAATAGCAGGTGCTTCTTATTTAAAGCAGAATCTAAAATACTATACAAAAAACAATAACAAACTGAAATACAGCTCTTTTATAAAAAAAACACTGACTTAAAAGATTTCTTATTTTTGATGCTCTATGTTTAAAAAAAAAAGATGTTTAAGAAAAACTTGTAAAAAGAGGGTTAAAAATAAAAGATCCCTTTTTTAAGCCTATTAAGTAATTTACAAAAGTGGAAAAATAAATAAAGAAAAAAATTTTTAATTTTTAAAAATCCTGTTAAATGATTAACAATTAATAAGAAAATTTTGTATTTTATAGAGAAAAAGGCAAAATATTGTTTTTTTTTTAAACTTTATTTTAATATAGTTTATATTTATATTTTTTTCAAATTTAACCTCAAAGTTTGAATTATATAAAATGGCGATTTTATCATTTTACTTTGATAACACGGGCCGAGAAAATTTTTAACCCAAAGTTTTGACCGAAGTATACTTTTCTTAAGGATTGAGTCGCGCTGAATACGAATCTGCCCTCAGAATTTGTTTATCTGGGATTTGTTATATCATGTCCTGAAGTTTGAAAAAACACAATTTTTGGCGCTATTTGAGATGTTATAACAGCGCCCAGACATCTTTACTTAGAAAGTGTTGTATGTCATCTGAAAGTCCATTCTATTAACTTTAAAATGAAGGCTTAACATCTGTCACATCTTCTCTTTTCCTATGAAAATACTTTTTGAATTGTTCAAAAATCTGCTGTAGTTTATGAGATCTCATCCGTTGAAGTTAACGGACGGACAGACATCATTAAGTCGAATCAGAAAGTGATTTAGAGTCGATTGGGATATCCTTAGATAGGTGTGGATCCAATATTTTTGTTCGTTATAAACAATATATACAAAGCATAGTATTCTCCACATTATAGTAGTATAGAGTATAAATACCATTAATATACCGAAAACCATGAGTTTTCAAGATTCAGGCGAAGATTTTTCGAAGTATAAAGAAGATATGACAGATGTTAAGCCTTTAATTTAAAGATGACAGAATGGACTGTCAAATGGCAAACAACATTTTATAAATAAAGTTATCTAGGCACTGTTATAATGTCTCAAAAAAGAGCAAAAAATTGAATTTCAGGACACGATATCTCATATTCGGATTTAGCACGGCTAAATTCTTTAGAAGCGTCAGAGTTTCGACATTTTTTTCAAATTTTGTCGGCCTGTGTAATTTAATGAAAATTCTTTAAATTATTTAGAAGTGCTGTAATCCTCTTAAAATCCTGCTTTAAACCTTATGTATGAATAATTGTAATAATCCTGCAAAATCCTATAATTTCAAAATACTTTTGTACTGTTTTTTCTTTTAGTTCAAACCAAAAAACCACCTTAAAAAATCCGTAATAATTGTTAAGCGTCATATGTTTTGAAAATAGCAGTTTTATTTTTTTTGTTGTTGTTGTCAAAGTCAATGGCAGTAAACAGGATAATAACCACAAAAAGGGAGAGCTCAAGAGAGCATAACATTAAACACAAACACTTATGCAATGATCAAAAAAAAAATCATACTCAACAA